TGTTTTGGGTAAAAAGCAACCTTGGCACAATTTCCAAGAAATTGGACTGAGCCCACGCTGGGTTGACCTGTTAGCTAAGCTGATTAGCTTTATAATTATTATTGAATTTGTGATTTATTGTCAATATATTCAATTCTCACTGAAATGCAAAGCTTACTTAGTCAGTGATGAGTTTTGTTCGTCTCTACCAGGCTCGTAGCTTATAATCATTAATGGTTGGGCCAGCTGGTAATTCAGCAAAGTCACATATTACATAAAATAGTTGTTATGTTACTGTTAGCAGTCATTCATTTATTCTGTACAATAGCTAGTTTTGACAAAAGTTACATTGAGTCATGCTCCATGGTCAGTTAATAGGATGGTCGCATTTAAGGCACATTTGATACGATTTGTTTTAAGGATTGAAATTTTGTTCAGATATTACAGCTGAACAAAGCGACCAGCTATCTACATGAAGTGTTTGTATGGAGGGATTCTACCGTAACTGTAAGTTCTAGCCTCTATTTGTTATAGCACATGTTAATTCTTGCTAGAGGCACAGATATCGCATTGTAGCACATTATATTAATATTTGCTGCAATTATTTATAATGTTATTTGAATATATAAATCAGTTTGGAGTACTTTATTCTGAAAATCAGTTTTGCACAATTAATATATCTAGTAACATCTTATTTGATTTATTTATTTGTTTCATTCAAACCAAATGATTTATTTTGGTATTTACTCCCACAAAATTATTTCAATGAGTCTTTCTTTAAACTGCAGCAAAATCAGTAACTTACCAGTACTTTGTGGTTTTGCTGCTTGTTTGGAGAAAGTTTATGACCAGTTTGAATACAGTTGCACCTTCAAAACATAGGCTTGGACTAGTAAGGACTTGAAAAAAAGTCTGGAAAAGCAAGAGTCTGTGTAATCAAATACAGGAGAGAAGGGGAACTGTGGTATTCAGGACCACATAAAAAGTCCTGATGCCATTTGGAAAGTCTGGATAATAAAATAAAGACGGGAATCAAGATGTGACTGTATATGCTGGTCATGTAGAACTTCTTGGTTTATTCTCAAATATGAAAATGTTAATTAAGTATATTTAACCCAAGTATTTCTGTTTGGCAAAGAATGGTGAGCCTTGCCTTTTTTTCATTAAACATGACAGAAGAGCATGATAACCAATTTCATGCATTTGTCAGTAAAATGTTATTATTTCTTTTGGCAAGTGTCCAGACAGTTCTGTTGAGGCAGCCTTGTGTGAAGTTATGAAAAAACATATACTGTAGATTTGCCTTCTGGAGTCAAGTCAGCCATAGTCTCCTTAACAACTTTTACTTGGGTCGACATTATCAATCAATCAATGCACAATTGAAGCACTCACTGGCAGCCCACTATGGCTGCAAAGGAACTTTGATCCTAGCATTTGTAGGTTTTATGACAATTTTGTACAGTTTGGTTACCTATTGGGATGCTTATTTTACTTTACACTGGGCAAAAAAGGAACAATTGAAAGTGGAAAATATTGTGTATGATCACAGAGTGCTGTTTTGGGGTCTTACTGAGGAAAGGATGCAAGTCTTACAGGGGTTTATGAAAAAAGAGATAAAATAAATATTATTACTACATTTATTACATTCAGATGACAACACTCTTATTTGATGTAAATGTTCTGATTTGCTGTTCTTGTTATAGCACACTTTCATGATGTGTAAATACTGCATGACTGCACTCAGGTTAGTTAGGCCATTCTATCAATAAAACTCAAGGCTGAAAAAAAGTGCTTTGTACGTGAATTTACTTATCTCACGCTTCTTGTAACAGCATTGAAGTAATCTCCAAGGCATTTGTAGGCTTCAAGTAGGTCATTTAGAATTCACTCAGATTTTCCCTTTAATTCAGCAAACTTTTAATTTCTTTGTAAACATATATAAGAGAAACCAACCACGTTTTCCCATGGTCTTTCCTCTTTGGAGACCATATAAATGATGTCAGAAAAATATTGAGAACTTTGTGGTAAACTCACTTTTGAGCATTCTATGGTCCATTATTGAAGCAGGCTTTGCAACAAATGAAATTAATAAAACACCAGATATTGAATTCATGGTTATTTTTGTAAATGTTGCCTTTAATTGACAGACTTTCATGACTTTTCTACATCTTTCACCCTATTTGCTTGTAGCATGTAATCTTCTAATTTTTCCAATAATCCTGGTGAACCATGTCTTCTGATGTAGGCCTGCAAGAGTTGATAACAACAAATTAGGATATCGCTCATTTAGGTGTTGCTGCTGAATACAACTTCCAAGTCAGCAGATCTCCAACCACAGGCACAACTTACAAAAATTGGCATCGCCTAGCTCCTATGTAACAAGACCTGACAAAACTACCTGCTCTGTTGGCTAACAAATTCTGTAAGTCTCCAAACAATGTACCATAATTGTAACAGGATAAGATAAAGGCAAGATGGGGGTGAGGAACCACATAAAAATACATGCATAATTTCCTGTTTTGTTTTGTTTTTGGCTCCAAGATAATCGAAATCTTTATAATGTGGAGCTTAACTGAGGTATCATGAAAAGATGCAATATAGCCAAATCTACTGTACTAACAATGCTTACCCGAACCATAAAAAAGCCTTTCAAGTTATTACGGTGAGCCTGTTCCGCTATCGTGCTTTTTGGATGACAGAGGTGATGCAGTCTCACCACTTGGATACAATCATCCCACCTGCCAGTAAAATAAGTAACATTAAGTGTGATGGATATGAAATTTCCCCTGGAAGGTCATAGAACATTCCGAGGAGGTCAGCCATCTCAAAAGCCAAACATTTTAAAGCTAAACTTGAATTTCCAGAGGGGTAAGAAGGGGTGGGGGTCAAACCAAACAGCCTTTTATAGGGAGGGTATGGATATTTTCGGGAAAAACACAATTTTAATTTGTTATAATTTGATTTGATCTAATTTGAGCCTCTGTATGGATGTTCCGTTGTTCTTTCTTCACCAAGTTAATTTCCAAGAAATTGGACTGAGCCCACGCTGGGTTGACCTGTTAGCTAAGCTGATTAGCTTTATAATTATTATTGAATTTGTGATTTATTGTCAATATATTCAATTCTCACTGAAATGCAAAGCTTACTTAGTCAGTGATGAGTTTTGTTCGTCTCTACCAGGCTCGTAGCTTATAATCATTAATGGTTGGGCCAGCTGGTAATTCAGCAAAGTCACATATTACATAAAATAGTTGTTATGTTACTGTTAGCAGTCATTCATTTATTCTGTACAATAGCTAGTTTTGACAAAAGTTACATTGAGTCATGCTCCATGGTCAGTTAATAGGATGGTCGCATTTAAGGCACATTTGATACGATTTGTTTTAAGGATTGAAATTTTGTTCAGATATTACAGCTGAACAAAGCGACCAGCTATCTACATGAAGTGTTTGTATGGAGGGATTCTACCGTAACTGTAAGTTCTAGCCTCTATTTGTTATAGCACATGTTAATTCTTGCTAGAGGCACAGATATCGCATTGTAGCACATTATATTAATATTTGCTGCAATTATTTATAATGTTATTTGAATATATAAATCAGTTTGGAGTACTTTATTCTGAAAATCAGTTTTGCACAATTAATATATCTAGTAACATCTTATTTGATTTATTTATTTGTTTCATTCAAACCAAATGATTTATTTTGGTATTTACTCCCACAAAATTATTTCAATGAGTCTTTCTTTAAACTGCAGCAAAATCAGTAACTTACCAGTACTTTGTGGTTTTGCTGCTTGTTTGGAGAAAGTTTATGACCAGTTTGAATACAGTTGCACCTTCAAAACATAGGCTTGGACTAGTAAGGACTTGAAAAAAAGTCTGGAAAAGCAAGAGTCTGTGTAATCAAATACAGGAGAGAAGGGGAACTGTGGTATTCAGGACCACATAAAAAGTCCTGATGCCATTTGGAAAGTCTGGATAATAAAATAAGATGGAAATCAAGATGTGACTGTATATGCTGGTCATGTAGAACTTCTTGGTTTATTCTTAAATATGAAAATGTTAATTCTGACAAGGCACTGTGATGAGCTTTTAACTTAGGGGAAAAATATGATTAGAGGCTTTTGCCAAGGAAACTAAGTTATGGCATTATCTCTTTCTGCATGGTATCAAAAACTGATCATTCTGTTACAGTTTTTTACTAATAATTGTCAGTGTATATTTAACCCAAGTATTTCTGTTTGGCAAAGAATGGTGAGCCTTGCCTTTTTTTCATTTGACATGACAGAAGAGCATGATAACCAATTTCATGCATTTGTCAGTAAAATGTTATTAGTTCTTTTGGCAAGTGTCCAGACAGTTCTGTTGAGGCAGCTCTGTGTGAAGTTATGAAAAAATTTATACCTGTAGGTTTGCCTTCTGGAGTCAAGACAACCATAGTCTCCTTAACAGCTTTTACTTGGATCAACATTATCAATCAATCAATGCACAATTGAAGCACTCACTGGCAGCCCACTATGGCTGCAAAGGAACTTTAATCCTAGCATTTGTAGGTTTTATGACAATTTTGTACCTATTAGAATGCTTACTTTACTTTACACTGGGCAAAAAAGGAACAATTGAAAGTGGAAAATATTGTGTCTGATCACAGAGTGCTGTTTTGGGGTCTTACTGAGGAAAGGATGAAAGTCTTACAGGAGTTTATGAATAAAAGACTAAATAAATATTATTACTACATTTATTGCATTCAGATGACAACACTCTTATTTGATGTAAATGTTCTGATTTGCTGTTCTTGTTATAGCACACTTTCATGATGTGTAAATACTGGATGACTACTCAGTTAGGTTAGTTAGGCCATTCTATCAATAAAACTCAGGGCTGAAAAAAAATGCTTTGTATGTGAATTTACTTATCTCACGGTTCTTAAAACAGCATTGAAGTAATATCCAACGAATTGCTGGTTTTCAGTGTCACGCCATTCAAAATAGATCAAAATAAAAATCAAAACTGTTCAATAGATTAAGTCAAGAATCTGGGAAATGAAAGAAAGTAAATATGCAAAGACTCTCGCCAAGATTCTGGTCACAGCAATTTTTCTTATGCAAGATATGC